GTGAATTTTTTTTCAGACTTGTTATTCCTAAATTGAATATTGAATATATTAGAGATGGCTGCTTCACGGCGTAATGTAAATAAAGATGTCAAAGGAGCTGGCCATACTAGTGTTAATACAGCCGTCACAGCAAGTAAAGGAAGCATTACTTATAAGCGCTACGAAGTGCGTTAAAATGTGCCGACGGAGATTCGAAACTCAAGCAATTAATAACCGTTGTGACGAGGATTCGGAACTCTTACGACTTATAGCAGTAACTAGGATTTAGGAACTCATGTGAATTTAAGTGAACAATTACGGGAAAATGTACTCGTTGCTTCTGGAACACCGATACGGCTGACAATAAGGATTTTAACTACGTTGGTTTTAAAAACAAAAATAATTTTTTTGTCGTGTAAAAAAAAAACACTTTGTCGTAAGAAAATAAACATCGTATTCTTGCGAATATGCAGTATTTTTTTGCTTCGATCAACAACAGAAACAGCAACAACAAATTCAACATTTGCTAGAACAACAAAAACAGCAACAAGAATTATTGGATATAATCCTGAAGAAAACAAAAAATTCTTCAACGTTTCTTACACCAGACGTTGTTCAAAAGACCATATCAGAATTTGTATACAATCCTGATGAAGGACTGCGTATTTTCGTAAATATGAACAAATACAGTCAGGAATTCAGCGGCTGGGAAAATGAGAAAAAATGAGATTGTTGTTGAGGAAAATAGCTACGATAAAGTTGTGAAAAATATGCTGCCGAGAAAGGACAGGTGAAAGCGGCTTTGAAGACAAGGTACACATTCTGAGAAAGATCTTTAGTGACATGAGCTCTCTGTTTAATACTCGTTAGAGGCACATGAATCTAACAAAAAAGGGACAATGATTTTGTCACATAAAAGTTTAGAATAAAGAAATGACTACAGATATGTTCAAAGGGATAATTTCCATTCATGGTAACAGCTGAAAATAGCTAAAATATGAGCGAAAATGTCTACGAAAATTGTACAAAACAGTAATGTCCATTGCAAGAAATACTGGACGATTGCCAGGCAATTCTAAGCCTGAAACACAATGTTGAAGAAATTTAGAAAAAAAAAAGAATGTGAATTGGCACAAGCAAATGATAAATATACAAAAATAAGAATAAATCCTTGTTTCAGATGTGATAAATTATATTTTGAAAAATATCTGTCCATTAAAAAATGCATCATATTACATTTGCGGTAAATGAGTACATATAAAGGCAAACTGCAAAACTAAAGCAAGAAAAAATTTTCACAGAAAGAAATTCGTACACAACATTGCCATGGGAAAAATGTTACAGAAAACAAAAGGAAATTTGTGAATGTGAAAAAAAATGTGTGCATGAAAAGCTACTGGATATTCAGTGAAACCAAATGGAAGGAAAATGAAAAGCCATTATTAAAAAAGAACTTCTAAAGTCGCGATTTGAGTTTCTGTTGAGAAATTGTTTTTTGAGAAATGATTTGTAATTTCTCATTCCGTAATAAGCATGCAAAAACTAAAGCTCATATATTTAAAAACGCTACGAATTTGTTCGCTACTAACTGGATGGAAATATTTGAATTTTGGGATATAGCAACAGACTTTTATTATAAAAAAAGTTCCCATTTTGAATTGTTTTTTTTTTTTTTTTCATTAAAACAATTCTTTCGAGTCTGTCCAACTCTTTATTGATTTGTTCCAATGCAGTGAATGGCCCGCTCCGTTTCGGCTTAAATACTAGTATTGAACCATTTTTTACTTGAAAATCCGCTTTGAATTTTGAACATCGACCCAGTTCCTTTTTTCAGAACATCTGGAAAACATTTTTGTAATACTTCCTTAAGATTTTTAAATTGGTCGCTTCCCCACATAATTTTATTTATTATTATTTTTCTTTACATAATAATAAAATTCGTGTTTGCGCAGATTTATCGACAGGATTAAATATTTGTTTAGAAACACATAGCTACCTATTATCAAGTCCAGACGAAATGTTTTCAAAGTTAAACGACAGAAGAATATTTTCAAATCTCTCTGAAGTGTATTTAAAAATTCAGATTGAGAATGAAAGCTCAAAATTAATCACCATAATTACCTACAGAGGATAATATAAGTTTAACCGACTTTTTTTTTTATATAAAGGTGGCACCAGCTATGTTTCAATGGATACCATGTTTGTGGATTGCGGTTTCGCAGTGTCGCATCTGGACGACATTTTGATCAAAAGTATATATACAGAACAACATGTTGAGCATGGAAAAATAATTTTGGAAAAACGAAGAGAGTACAGATTCAAGTCCAGTAAAAAAAAATGCGAATTGTTATTCCCAAAAATTAAATATATTGGTCAAATTATTGAGAAAATGGTCATCAAATAGATCCGTCGAGAGCAAGTGCAATTAAAAATATGCCTCCACCAACGAACGGGACTACGTTACAAACTTTTCGAAAACTGGCTAATTAATATTAAATATATGTACATAATATCCTTAAGTTGGGATCTAGGGAAATTGCTCAAAACCAATTGCTCGACAGTAAATTGCTCGAAATCAGTTGCTCGAAAAATAATTTCTCGAACTATCAATTGCTCGAAAGATAGTGATAAAAAGTTTTAATCTGAAAAATGTGGATGTTGTGAAGTAAATAGTACACATCGGTGAGTATATGAATCAGTCCATAACTTTAAATAATGAGCTACAGGTCTGAGGTAAGTAAGAGAAGCCGTTTGGAGTCAGGCAGTTCGAACTCTCTGCGTTCGGAAAGGAACGAACCGAGACGAGACTCTACCCATAGGCAAACCAGACCCCGTGTATGCAGCGTCTACGGAGAAATTTTGACGAGCCTATAGGCTTGGAATCGCCCGGTATAAAACCGACTTTGTGCAATATCCTGTCTTGTGGGGTGGTTTGGTGAATACCAGAAGCCGTTTGGAGCCAATCTTCAGACTAATTAATACAGGCGTCACGACATGTAACGGAAGCAATACTTATATTTATAAGCGCTACGAAGTGCGTTCTAATAGTGAAAGAGTTTATTATTTGGCTTGATAAACAGCCTGAACAAGACCAGTACGCTAAAACGATGTCTTACGATTAGTATCTGAAAGTTTTACTCACTTTTATCAGATTCAAATGAACATAACAATGGCAGAAGTACTACTAAGTTTTAGAGACCAAAAACATAAAAGAGCAAAGGCAATTTACAGGAAGACTACAGTCATCTACCAGCCCAGCAAAAGAAGGAAAGTTGCTGAAAGACTTCTCCGACCTCAAAAAATCTATACAACAAATGGTGGTCGTTAGTTTGAATATTTAAATCAAACTGTTAATCTTCTTTGTACGTCAATAACATTTAATATTTGTTAATTTTGACCATTAATTAAAAACTATTTATTATCATTTAAAGAGTGAGTACATTTGGTGGGAAACCCTATATATATATATATATATATATAGATAGATAGATAGATAGATAGAGAGAGAGAGAGAGAGAGAGAGAGAGAGAGATATTATAATATATCGCACATAGAGTGCTAACTTTCATAAAACAGTGCTCGATGTAATACAACAGCTATTAAGAATATATCAATAAATATACATATTATCCCTCATCAATAGCAATCTTCAGCTGCTGAACATATATATATATATATATATATATATATATATATATATATATATATATATATATATATATATATATATATCAAGAGAGAGAGAGAGAATGAATAACCATATAAATTAATAGCAGACAAAATTCACCTGTACGGAAATTATCTGGCCGAGGTAAACTTTAATTCTTTTATGAATATTAATTACTCCAAATTTTAATTCTTCATTAGGTCCCATAAATATTTTTCTTTTTAATTTTAAGTATAAATGTCCTCTTAGTTCTCATTTTCTTCAAACCAAAAACTCCCATTTGGTTAATATTTGAGTAATTATATGGACTTCTTACTTTAATACCATTAATGGATTCGTCGTTGTTGCCTAGCGTTTATGTGGAGTCAAAATCAAGTTCTACAATAAAACATTCAAATGGAAATTGTATAAACAGAGGCTAATACAAAATGTTACATTGAATAAACTTACACCAATATTCAAAACATTCATTCTGTACCTTTGAACATTTTACCGTTACCAATGTCAACCAAGTTTTCTCTTTTCTTTGTCAATAACGGTGATGTATGGTTTTGTGGCCCCAAATCTGATGTCCGTTTGGGTGTTGAAATCCAACAGGATCTTCTCTTCGGTGTTCTGTCACCATATCTACCTTGTTGGGGTGTCATATCTTGTCGACTATAAATCCATCAGATCAGAGCAAGAACGAATAAGAAACTGGCGGAGATGTCACACACACACACACACACACACATACACACACATATATATATATATATATATATATATAATACTCTATAATCTTTCTTTTCCTAGTTAACGAAATTGATGCTGATTTAAAAGAGAATATATATTTCGTTTTGAAATCTATTTGCGAAATCTTTAATATAAATTCATTGTACGAACTGAGATTATTTATTTGATTTTCTGCATTATCGTCCGCTTGACGTATTTATTTTGACTCTTATCGTTCCATGAAATATTTATGCGTCTATTTTAATATATTTCGCTTATTTTTTTCTGCATTTATACAACTAATATATCCGATAGTGTCCGTATCGAAGTGACACGAAATATATTAAAACTCTGTACTATGTTCTAAACTGGTTGAATTTATAGACATTTATTTAGACATTGGACAACGCTGTCACTTTATTCATGTATTGTTCCTTACACCTCTAGCAAATATTACCTCTGACATAAATGTTACATTTCACAATATCAGCATGCATTTTTATCACCTTTTCTTTCAGTCGAGTTAACATAAAAATATCAAACTTTAAAGTTTGTGCTCAAAATTTATTTAGGATTATAGATGTTGTGATTTTCAATTGAAATTAAAACTCCACATTTTCGTGGACTTACAGCCGCATCGCATTAAAACAACGGTTCCCATAATATCACCGAAGTTAAGCAACATCGAACTTGGGCAGTACCTATATGGGTGACCGCTTGGGAATACCAGGTGCTGTAAGTTTCGATGTGACGTAAATTCGAATGTCTCGGAAATTGTTAATCGGAGAGTCGAGTTTCAGTTGGTTTCGTTATATTCACTTACGCACAAATGCCCCTGGAAAAGGTATGAACCCACCTATTCTCCTCTTGCCTATGGGTTAATTTGTAAGACTCGTGTCACTAAATGACTATTTCTAAAAGTAAAATAGAATTGTGTACAAAATATTTAGAGATCAGCATTTAATAACTTGTAAATGGTTGATATGCCGCTAAACAAAACAACCAACCAAATTTCCGTATCACTTTCATAATTGGTCCTTCTACCTTTATTGTTCCCCTCGAAATATTTTCAATTCTTTCTGGACTGTTTTCTCAAAATAATTACTGGCACCATTATAGTCACTCTATTGATGATTGATACATTTATCGTTATCAGAATGTTCACTTAATTCTCTAGCAAGGATCTAGGTGTAGACGGCATATATTCTTTATTTTAAAAATAATTAACGATTTTGCCTTCAAAAGATAATTTTGTACAATCTCACTAGCAACGTACAGTTATCAGAATGATAAGATGACTAATGGAAGGTTCAGATAAGCGATTCAAAACTCGCTAATTCACTAGCACTGTCGAGCTGTTTTCCATCTTGCTGTTTGAATGGTCTGTGGCCGAATCGGTTAAAAGGCACGTCAAGCTAAATGACGGTTCCGTATAGGATACAGGTTCGAATCCTGTCGGAGGACGAAGATTTTCTGTGAAAATTTCTCGGACATTCAGGCCGGTAAATGTTGTTTAATACTGTTTATTATAAACAGAGCATTTACTTAAATATTTGTATCTATAAAAAGAATGTATAAACATAAAAATGTCGTAAGTTGTCCATTTCATAATGTGTGACATCATTTGTTTACATTTGATACGCTATGAGCAGATATGAATGCACGTGAGAGATTCATGGAAGATTGAAGTTTAAATACAGTAAATTCGACCTTGCTAACTGAACGCTCCTCTGCCAAATCTGTAAAGGCACGTCAAGCTAAATGACGTATAGGATACAGGTTCGAATCCTGTCGGAGGACGAATATTTTCTGTGAAAATTTCTCAGATATTCAGGCTGGTAAATGTTGTTTAATATAAACAGAGCATTTACTTAAATATTTTATCTATATAAAGAATGTATAAACATAAAAATGTCTTAAAATAATTGTCGGACTTTGTCCATTTCATAATGTCTGATATATATATATATATATATATATATATATATATATATATATATATATATATATATATATATATATATATATATATATATATGAGACAAATATTCAATAGAGGGAGCGTTGTTTCTTGTATCTTCAATTCTGTTCTTTAATATTAATCACAATGTGTTCTATTATATCATCAATATGAACGAGAATTCAGCTGGTAATATCGATAATAATATTGTGAAGAAAATATGCATAAAAGTTCTTGCAGATTTATGTCCACAATAAACTTTGTGAAATTTTACAGTTCTGTATTTCAGATTCTCGGCAGTAGTATTATATAATGTAGAAATATTGGCCGGTCTGCGTTTATCCATGAATATGTGCTTATAATTTTTAGTATAATTATTATGCTCGCTTCATATCAGCGACAGAGATTTCTTCAATGAAGATTCATTTCTAAGGCACTTAATCTAAATAGCAGCTGATTATCGAATCCAAGAATTAATGAAAACTTAATAACTACCAGTTAATGATTAAAGATTGAAAATCGCAAACGCTAACCCTTATTGGTAAAATACTCAAGATATAACTTATTTGGTAAATAGATCGCGTAAAATTCAGTACATAATGTATTTTTCCTACTAGTATCGTTTCGTGGTGCGCTGTTTTATTATGAAACTAGTGAAGTTTAAATAAATATGTATATTGATATCTATATTTTCATTTACAAATAGACTGAAATGACCATTGGGTGTACAAAAAAGTAAGTGTAAATTTAAGAGGAAAATTATACACAAAACATCGTCAGGAAGAAAATAAGAAATTATGACTTTCAGTATGTCACAAAATAGAATGTCCTTTACCCTATTAATATTTTAATTTTATAGAAACCTTAATGTCATTCATTGCTGCCAGTAATTTTTTTAAGTTGAAATAATAGAAATGTTGACAAATATCGATGAATTGAACTTGGTGTATTGAGATATTTAAATATAAATTTCTCGAGACTATGTTTATGTTTTTTTTTTCCTAAATAAATTTATGCTATATTTATTTTGTTTGCAAAATAAATATGGATTTAAGCTCGGTACTAGATTGGCGGCAAGGTTTCATCAGTTTACAGTTAAAATGTAGCGTGATCTTCATCCTAACAGTTTCTTCCAGCTGATTTCTTGCTTGTAGAACTCTCTTCCGTCTTCTTGTTTTCCCCTCAACTTTGAATTTCCAAAATTTATATGCAATGTCAATCGTTATCACTAGTCATCTTAATTCTTGTTTTTTTATTATTCTCTCTCCTTAATAATGTTTTTTTTCTCATATTCTTTTACACCGAGTAACCCCTTGCTTTATTGCCTTGCTTGAAACGATTAAAAAAGAAAAAGAAAATTCCCAGGCTCTAAGTTATTATCAATATTTTAATATGCTGAATCATATACGATAGACAAATTATTAACATCGAATTATTAATATCATTTTATTGTATAAATATTGAGTTGTATCTATCACAGTGTAAGTTGTATACACAAATATGTCTGCTCTCATGCATATACGAAGCTGTATACATTAATGAGAATGTATAATTATAATATACATTTATGTATTATTATTTAGTTATGTATTATATAAAAGCAGATAAAGTAAATAGATACAGCTTTTAAAGAAATCTGATTTGCGTTTTAATGAAACTGTACAAATGCATTTCAACTAAGAATATATATATAATTTCAATTAATCAATAAATATTATATTAATTTACTTACAGGTATATAGCATATTAAATATAATGTCTTAAGTTTATCTTGAATATCTAATTAGCAACTCAGCATCATATTTCTGAACGTTTTAATATCATATGTCGTTTTAAACTGATAACTGCTCAAGTATATATGTAAATGATAGTTTACAAGAAAAGCCGTCTTATTATAAGTCCACACTGATTTATTTGTACAAATTTTGATTGGGATTTTTACATTTTGCAGCATAATTTTAAACATTTACATCAATACGACTTTTTAAATATTAAAAGGTTTATGAAAAACACCAATGTAATTAAACTCTGTATTCAAATGTATATCACTCGTTTAATAATGTCACTGTAAAAGCTTTTTTCAGATCACATCAGTCACAGATATTTACTATAATTAATTACTTAATGTTTGACATTTTCAATTGAAAAACGTCTTGCCGCCTAAAGGAATTAAATATATTTCAGGAAAATTTAGTATGTTTATTAATTTAATGTTCATTTTCATTTTATTTTTCGTAAATTAACAGTTACACTGTCAATAAACCTCAGTTCCAGTCTAATTTACGTCATTTTTGATACTCCTTTAAATATCCTGCCAAACAATGGAAATTTGTTGCTTTATTTATAAAATGTTGGTTTTAATAAATATTTATGAAGTCAGCTTACAAATCTTATTTGATGGTAATCACAAATATAAAAATATTAATCGGCTAACCAAAAGTTCCAATTTGAGTGGAACTGTCCCGGTTCTAGAACCTCTTTCGGCTGATATAAGCTATCAGTATTTGTGTATGTATGTGTGCATCACCCCAAAAGCTTACTGGGTGTTGCTTGATGAATGTAATTAAAATGTACTAATTAAATTAATGTAATTAAAACGAAATGTTTTGGCGTTATTGCTATTAATTTTGTATAGGTCAAATCTTGAACGCAATCATGTACCCTCATATCTGCAATTGACAAATATGCGCAGGGAGAATAATAATTAAATGTAGTATAGAATATTTCCACACAGCATGCATACAAAACAAAAAAGAACATAAAGCTAAGCATTTTATTTGTTTAGCAATTAAAAACACCGACAGAAAGACGTGGAACTGAATGACATTCTATTTATTTCAAAATCGTTGTAGTCCAATATTTATTACTGTGAGTTGGCATCGAGGTTGCTAAAAGAGCAACACTATCTTTGAAAATGTTAAATGAGTGTAAATGTTGACATGAAAAATCGCGATAATGCTTTTTCAGTGATACAAATGTCGCTTCTTAACAAAAGGTCTGTTTTGTATAATTGTTTTGTAATCATATTAGATAAGTCTTAAGGCAATAGCATGAAAATAAAGAGATCAGACTCTTGGAATTCTTTCCACGAGATAACAGCATTTGAATGTTATCACAAAATTTCTTTACTGACGTGGCGGTCATTGTGACATAACATACCTAAAAAGGTTTTTCAAAATGATGACATTGGCGGCAACGAAAATGTGTTCCCTTCTCTTTGAAAGACTTTTCTTATCATTTAAACAATGCAAAATACTAGCGACTGTTAAAATATGATGATATGTTACCAAAGATGAGTGAAAATCGATAGAACAAAAACGTAAAACATTACAAATCAATCTTTATTATCACGGCCACGTGTTGGCTTCAAATGGATAAAATCTAGTGAAATGTATTTTGTTAGAATAATTATTATTAAATGTAATTTTCGAGAAGGATAAGAGCCCACTGAAACGAGAAACGCATAAGGTTGGTATTTAATATGCTTAACTTAGGACAAAGACACGTATGAGAGTCCTGTTGAGGATCGAACTCACTACTGATACGCTAACCAGACGCTCGCTAAACATTGTCCCAAAGAATCATCGTTAAACTGCCTCAAAGATGGAGAAATATAATGGAGCAAAATGTCATATATACAGTTATATACATATATGTACAAATATGAAATATTGTTTTGAAATTTACACACATACACACACACACACACACACACACACACACACACACACACACACACACACACACATATATATATATATATATATATGAAGAAATAT